AACGACTCTGATTGGTTCAACCGTATCCGCGCGGAGAAAAGTAACAGATGTCGTGTGACAGCGCTGTCCGCGTCAGCAGGGTTATGGTAATAATGATTCTGATAATCCTTAAGAGCAAGTGCATTTAAAACAGATATTATTTACACCAAGCTAGTCCCCGCCCAGTTTTAATAACAACTGTTTCGTGCCATTCTACTCGTTTACTCTATTTCTAAGCTATTGATACAAGCCCCGCCCTCAGCCCGATGACTGTCGTTATTGACGGCTCAGCTGTCCAATGGAAGAACGCTTGTAAATAGCTCCCACCAATCAGAGCAAAGAGAGATCAGGTGACCCGGGACTTGTCAGGGGGGTGGGGTCATTGTAGAGCAGTTTTAAACAAGCCAACACTTTACTTTGAAATGTAAGGAGTCTCTTATGCTACAAATGGAAACATTATAGCTGCTAATAGTGTTTATTTCACATATTTATGTATTTTTAAACTTGGTAGGCTAATAATTCTGAATAAACATCAAACTGGACACTGTGGAGTACTGATTTTATTTGATTTATAAACCCATTATCAATCAAATTAATCATAATTCATGTTTATTTAATCATTAATTCAATAACAAATGTATTAATAAATAATTTGCTTCCAGTGATGGTTCCAAGGCTCAAAAGTACGATTTTTATCAATAAATATTCAATTATTATTATTATAGGATACAAATTTGAGGTTAATTCTGACAAAAGCTGCTGACGCACTTGCAAAATATATTTTCTTTTGCTGAGTATAACAAGTGATGGTCAACAGAGAGCATTTGACAACAGATATTTATTCAGTACTGACAAAAATTGGGAAAGAGCGATTGCCTTTAAAGGTTCGCCCAGAATAATAATCCTTCAGTTCACACAAACTGAAGAGAAATGCCTGGGCTCCATCCAGCATAAGGCAAGTGAATGAGGGCTGAAGCTGTCAAGCTTAAATACATAAATAAATAACACCGTTCAAGCATTAAAGTAGTCCTTACAACTCGTGCATTACAACAT